TTCCCTGAGCACTACTGATACAATGCGCCTAACTTTTATGGAAGGAAAATACTTGATTAAGAACAAAATCAAAATATACAGAGCTAAGGCTGAATTAAGCAGCATGAATTGACTCCCTTAGCAATGAGCTGTGATATTTTAAGACAATAATCCAAAAGGTAAGACTTGTTAATGTGTTCCTGTTCCATTTCAGTGCCAAGTAAGCTAAGTTGATTAAATCCATTTAATTCTACATTGAAGCTACAAGCAGTTAATTTTTTGCTAACCTGGCTGCAAAGTAGTAATGTTTGGTTAATGTATCTCGACATTTTGCTCTAACAGGCTATACAAGGATTTGTCAGTGTCTTGAATTGTAAAATCTTACATTCATTCTTACATTTACCAGTTTGTTTCCTGATTTTTCAAAGGCTAATTGGCTACTATAAACCTTAAAAATAAGTGAACTACAGGAAAGTATCGTAAATTATTCTTACCCATAAAAATCAAAGCCTGTGGGATAAGTGTTAGTTTGCAATTGTAAGATGCATACAGTTTTACCTTCCCCTTACCTACCTGGTGAGTACACATTTAGGAGAAAATGTTCCTAATTAATTAGAAAGGAAAAGGATAATAGTCCTAGGCTGGTTTTGAAATGCAAAGGATTTAGATGCCTGATTTAGAAAAGGTAAGGGTAGAAGACCAGCACAAGGCTGCAGAAGTGAAAGTGAGATGAATCAGTAATGATAAAAGGCTCAGGCCAAGAAAAAGAACTGCCCTTTTGAAGCTAAATAGAGGCTTAAGAACTGAAGTCATTTCGACAAAGAGAACACAAAGCAGAGGGAGAAGAGGTCAAAAACATCTGTGTAAAAATTCAAAACAAACAAGCCTGCAAAAAGACCCTAAAGAGAACAACAGCATGCGCTGCCCCTTGGAATACCTGGTGGTGCATTCGGGTGGGAAGTCGTGCTGTGAGAGCTGGGCCGACAAGGCCCCTTGTTCCGGGTTCTGCGAGCCGCTGGCAGGGGACTGATGTGTGAGTAGCAAGAAAGCGGTTGCATGCCCTCGTTTCCTTACGAAATTATGCTTGAAAAATACAGTGTTGGAGGAAGCCGTCTTTACACTGTGGACTTTGAGAACCATTCTCCCACAGTCTCAAAATGTCAGGGAATAAATATAAGAATTAAATGGAAAAACACTATTCTGTGTTGAAAGCTCCACAGTACACGGAATTCCCTCCTTAGACAGGAGTAGTTGTGCTTCTTAAGAGTAAAAGAAAACCTAACTTAGCCAGTTCCACTGAAATCAAACTAAAACCATGGTATTGTTATTGGCACAGGTCTTTGTAGCACTTCCTTTCAGATATCTCCAGGTTGTTCCCTGTGTTACTTAACTCTTTTTTTTGAATACAAGTATTTCAGAAATTTCAGGTTACCGTTTTAGAATTATTTGTTTGTACGTATAAAATGGTTCTTGAGTTTAAATGAAGTTCTCAAATCTCTCTGACTTCCATCAGCTTGGCTTTTTCCTAGAACAAGTCAGGTTACAAGTTTTAAGACCTCCATTGTACCTCAGTGAAGTGTTTGTGTCTCACATCACCTTGTTCTCTGAACCTTTGCACTCCTCTCGGCCGTTACCAGAGTCAATTAAGAACTGTATGCAGAAATGTTTGGGTGGGTGTTTTTGTGGTGTGTTTCTTGTTTTGTTTTTAATTTGGAAGTCACAGTGGTATCTTTTTTTCCCCCCAGTTCTTTTTCTCAGCTCCTGAGAGAATTGAAATATGTGTTTTAAACCATTGCAGGGTTTGCCACCAAAGTTACTCAACTTTAGAGACTTGCAGAGAATTAGTTAGACCTTAATACGCACTCTCTTATTAGGACTCTAACAAGACTAGGAGCATCGGACTTGGCCAGATTTTTCCCTTCTTCAGAGCCAAAGTAGCTCTGAGGGGCGGGAGGAGTTGAGTGCAGGCTGCAGCGCATCGGGTGCACAGCCTTTCCTGCAGCATTGCGTGCAGGGGCCAGCTGCATATTCCAGAATTGTCCATCCGTACCTGGGCAAGCAGCCCTGAGTTGAGATGGCAGGGAAGATTTTCCCAAATGCAAGTGTATAACTGAAATTTTCCACCTAAAGACATTCCTGATTTTTTTCTTTCCCCCTTAAGGCAACCACTATTAAAACTGAATCTGACCCTCCAGAAGCCAGAACTCATAATCTGAGACGTAGAATGGGATGTGCACCTCCAAAGTGTGAAAATGGTAAGTGGCAAGTGAAACGAAGTGTGAATGCAACTTCTTTTAAAATGAGTTTGTACAGACTAAGACCAGAGTTAAATTCTGCAGTTGGAACAATTCACGGTATTCAAAGAAACCAACTTTTGTTAACTTGATTTTTAAATTGCAATTAATTGTAAAAATTCTTGTATTTCTTTGAAACCTTTTTGTTTGTTTTGTGAGTGGTTGAGTTTTCTTGGAAAATATATTTTCCAGTTGGGAAAAAAAAAAATTAGACTTTACTGTCATATTTCTGGTTCGTATTTTAAATAGCTAGCATCAACCCACTAGCTTTAAATAGAGGAAACACTTTTAAGACTGTGTCAGATTTCGGACACTTTTAGGAAAGAATTTGCATTTGAAATCAGGAAATGAAAGTCACAAAGGCAAAAGATAGTATGTTGTGAGCTTAATGATAAAGTTCCCATAATAGGATTTTTAAATTGCTTCTATTAATAGTCCTGAGTCTGTTGTTATCTGTCCTTAAGAATTAATAATTTCAGACTGAAGAAATGTTTAATGCCATCAAGCAGAAGAATAAGTTTGTTGACAAATAATTTGGCAAAGCAAATATAGGAACCATTTACAACTACTTAATCAGCACAATTAACTAAGTGGTTTATGAGTTTGCTTTGTTAATTCAAAATTTTTCTCAAGAATTTGTGTGGATTGTGGTCTTCTGTAATTTGATATTTTTTTTTCTTTAAGGAATGTCTCTAGGCTTTAACATTTTTACTTTTTTCCCCCTGATAGGAGTAGAAGGCAAAAGCTCTAGACAGTTATTTAATGCTTAAATTTCTGACAGATGTAGTTACTCTATTCTTTAATATCGTTGTTAGCTTTTGGACTCCCAAGAAATGCTTGAGATTGTCTCATGTGCAGGGGCAAAGGGCTCTAGCTCACTTGTAACACAGCTACGAACTTCATTGTCCCCTTGTCTTCAGCGCCAGAGCCCTGGGATTCTCCACTCTGCTATGTGGGGTTGCCGGTTTTGGTCAGGAATGAAGACTTGGGTAGTGACACGTGCAGATTAGGTAGGAGGGTAAGAATGCAGGTAGCTGCTGCTTTGTCAGGCCACGACTGCTGCATGCTCGTCTCTGACGATACGTTTTCATGAAAGCTACCGCTGCAAGAACCTGAAATGTGAAGGTCACCCTCGGAAGCTGTAGTGTTGTTTCATGTCTCCATGTGACATGCTGCTATGAAATTGATGGAGTAATTCAACCACATTTGTTAACAGCTCCTAGAAACAAAACCTTAGCTTATGAAGATACTCCTAATTTAACGTAAATTCATTTAAATGAGATTTAAAATACGCACTCAAAGAATGCAGGCTGTTACAGTCATTGCTAGCTCGTGATGGCATGCTTGGTTTGTGTGATAATACCAGCTTTGCCAGGCATTGCAGATGTTCAAATCTTGCCTTAGGCTGACTGAAATTGTGTGTATGGGATAACAAGCAATTCAACAGATAACTGGGAATGATGCCATCTAATAAGTAGTTACCAATCATAACAAATAATGCTAAGCATTCAAACATTTTGTAATACCCTCACTATTTTTCTGTTGAACCAGAAAAGGAAATGCATAGCACAGTGAAACTTCCCAAGAAGAGAGAGCATGCCAGGGAGCCAGAGAAAGACAAATCCAAAGTCCGATCTAAAAAACCTACTAATGCTGTGAGTACACCCTGCCTTCCTGCTGCTTCATACTGATGGCAGGTGTTCCTGGGTTTCTCTTGGGTGTGTAGTGAAATCTCATGTCATTTGTATCACACTAAGGGCTCTCCTGTGTTTGTCCTGTAACCCTGTGGTTGAAACAAAGCAGTATCTGTGCCTCCTGGAATACACATGCTCATAAAGCTTTGTGCTGTTACAAAGCTGAGAATAACAGTATAGTTAAGTTTCTCTAACTAAGGTAACTTGTCTGTCTCCAAGGTATAGTCTCAAAATAGGAATTTTGAAAGGAGTCCAAATAGAAGTTGTTCTTCTGTGAACTGATCTCTCGCCCTGTTGCTCTTTAACATCAAGGGAGGTTAATGCGAGCTTTGGCACCCAGCTCTCCAGCAGACCTGCCACTTATTTGCAATTTCAGCAAGCTTTGTTGTTCAAATGCTCCTTAAAAAAAACAACCCTGGTCCTGCTCCAGCTCTCCACACACCACCACCCCTACTCCAAAAAAATCCAACCTGAAAGCAATGGTAGTTGTCTCACTGCTGAGGTGATCCTGAGATTCTTTCTGTCCATACCACTGCTTGGGTCCTTCCTAAACCCAAAAATGTTCTTTGTTTAATCCACACCTGTAGCTACATAACCTGAGAATGAAATGTGCAGATACTAGAAGCCTGACACCCCCACCTCCCAAATGAAAAAGGCTTCTGGGGAGGAGCAGGAGATCATAGAATCATAGAATGGTTTGGGTTGGAAGGGACCTTAAAGACCATCCAGTTCCAACCCCCCTGCCATGGGCAGGGACACGTTCCACTAGACCAGGTTGCTCCAAGCTTCATCCAGCCTGGCCTTGGACACTTCCAGGGATGGGGCCTCCACAGCTTCTCCGGGCAACCTGTCCCAGTGCCTCCCCACCCTCTGCGGGAAGAACTTCTTCCTGATACCTAATCTAAACCTCCCCGCTTTCAATTTAAACCCGTTACCCCTTGTCCTGTCATTACAGGCCCTTGCAAAAAGTCCCCCCCAGCTTCCTTGTAGCCCCTTCAGGTACTGGTGGTACCATCCCCACCTGGAGATGGTGCTTCATCGTTTAACAACATAAGACAACAGGGTCTATTTGTCCTCACAGCTCCCTTACGTATTTGCAGAGAGCCTTCCAGTCTGTTGCTAGTGAAGGTGTGGTGTAGGAAAGGGAACAGCCAACCCTGCCCACGTTTGGAGTGCCTGCACCTTTTCCCCGGGACTAGGTAGCTGTGTGAAACCTCCATCAGACTAAATCTGCCTAAAAGCATACAGCTCTGCTGGGAGGCTGGTGCCTTTCCAAACCAAAATGAAGGTCTAAGCCAGTATCTCTGGGGAACAGGAGGAGTACTCCCATGAAGAGGAACCCTTTCTCTCTGCTGAGGCTCCAAACAGTTGGTCTCAGAGGAGGAAGCATCTGTGCACACATGCTGCACGTGAGAGCAACAAGAAAAAGGATTTGTGAGCCACTAACAGGTGTTATACGTGCTGAATCCACAGTACTGCTGCTTGAAACTATCCTGGCCACTGCACCAAGTGTTCTGTCATTGGGGAGAAAAAAACGCATGGGAAGGCTTGCAACTCCTGTGGTCCTTCTTTAAATTACAGTGAGGGGGTATTTAAATCTTGACGTAAATATTTTCTGCTCGTTTGACGCATTTCCATTTCAGAGATAAAGTAAAACTAAGCTTCGGCAAATGTTTCCGGTGACTGAGGTACCAAACTGCTCTTTCACCGTGGGTTACCTTATGTGCTCAGATTCCCACTCTGGCAATCTTGTGTTGCAGGTGGATTTGTATGTGTGTCTCCTATGCGGCAGTGGTAACGACGAGGACCGTCTCCTGCTGTGTGATGGCTGTGATGACAGTTACCATACCTTCTGTTTAATTCCACCCCTTCATGATGTTCCCAAAGGGGACTGGAGGTGTCCCCAGTGTTTGGCTCAGGTAATGCAACAAACTGTAAAAGTTAGGCTCAAGGTTATGTTTTGCTTTGTGAAGTTTTTTAAAAAGTTGATTCTAGGGATTGAAACTACAATTTGTTATTACTTAAGGTTGTGCGGGCAAGGTGATAAAGGGTAAAGATAAAATGAAGGCTGGACATGCTTCAAATTTGAAAGCTATTGCTTAAGATTTTGGAGTGATAAACTGATGTGCCTTTAAAGAATACACTGGATGTTCCTTGGCACCTTTCATCTGTATTTAAAGTGTAACTGGGTGCTTCAGTGTGGAGGTCTATGCATCTCAACTCTGCTAGAGGAAGGAGAAATTAGGCATTCATCTAATTAATCTTCATGACGCTTTATAAATATAGCGACTTGGTGAATTAAGCAGAATAGTTTCTTCATCTGACTCTGTGTGACTTGGGGCAGCCGTTTCATTTCGATCAGATGTCCTGCCTTCTTACCCATCAGATGCGGTAACAGTAGCCGACTTGTGCAAAATCTGAGCCCAGATTGTCGTCTTACTATATTACAGAAACAATTATCTTCTCAATTGCAGGAGTGTAATAAGCCTCAAGAAGCATTTGGTTTTGAACAAGCAGCAAGAGACTATACGCTTCGTACGTTTGGAGAAATGGCAGATGCCTTCAAGTCAGACTATTTTAACATGCCAGTACATGTATGTTCACGTATTTATGCTGATGCTGTCACGTAGATTTAATTTCTTGTTCTTAGTTAAAATACATAACTTTTCAGGGGGAGGGGGGAGTTCTGGTTTTGAATGGGATGAAACAAACCCTTGTTGTTGCTGGTGGCATGTTTTTTTTTCTTCCACTGGCTTCTTGGCTTTTGGGTAGGTTTTTTTAGTTTTTGAACAAGTGTCTGTAAGAAAGAGAATACCTTCTGCACCCATTCCTGAGAGAACAAAGCAGCAGCATGTCCTGGGTGGAACCACATTTCTGCTGCCTTTTTCCTCTTGTTTAAATGAATTTGAAATAGGGCAATGCTTCAAGATAAGGGAGGGTCCTCCCTGAGATAGCTGTTACGCACGTGCTTTTTATGTTCTGGTTCCTCGGTATGTACTCCTTGTTTTTCTTCTTGTACTTAGATGGTCCCCACCGAGCTGGTTGAAAAAGAATTCTGGAGACTTGTTAGTACCATTGAAGAGGATGTGACAGTAGAATATGGTGCTGATATTGCTTCAAAGGAATTTGGCAGTGGCTTCCCAGTTAGGGGTGGGAAATTTAAAGTTAGACCAGAAGAAGAGGTAGGTCTTTATTAGCTCACTGTTGGTTTGTATTGTAGTTTTTCATTAAATATATATCTTTAATTCAAAGCACACCAATGGAACTGGGTTGCAAAGTGGGGGTTTTAACTACGTGGCACAGTGTTTGAAGAGAGGAATTGAATCAGAATTTTGAATAAATAAAACTTGCTGTGATCATACATTAATAAATACAGGTTTATCCTGGAAGTTAATAAATAACTTCTGGATTTAAAAAAAAAAAAGCCTCATTTTAACAAAGCAGGTCAGATAAGGTTTGTGAAAGGAGCAAAGACTATGAAGGTTTTGATCTTTGATTCATTGACCTGTTTCTTGTATTTTTCAGTTGGGAAAGATGCTTTTATTCTGTTGCTCTTTTGGCAATTTTAACTTCTTGGGGTTTTTACTTCATGTAAAATGTACAGACCTGTGACTAGTCTGTTCAATTTTCAGGAATACCTTGATAGTGGCTGGAATTTAAACAACATGCCTGTGATGGAGCAGTCTGTACTTGCTCACATCACTGCAGACATATGTGGGATGAAGTTACCCTGGCTGTACGTGGGAATGTGCTTTTCTTCATTTTGTTGGCATATAGAAGACCACTGGAGCTACTCGATTAACTATCTGCATTGGTGAGTTTGAGGAATAAACTCAGCCTGAGAAGCAATCTCCCTTTCATTCCCCCTTCCCCTTTTTAATTAGTGGACTAGACAGAGTTTAGACCAGAATAACCTTTGCAATGCCGTAGCAGCAGGGCTAAATATGACAGCGATTCCTGCTTTGCTTTGCTTTTGGCTAAGAGGTCGTATTTTGGAAAGAGACATCCATTCCCAGTTTTAAAAATCATGAGAGATGCCACATATATTCCATCAAGTGTTTTATTATACTCAATGTAAAACTAAAAACCATGCAAGTTTGTTTTTTTTTTTTTTAAATCATCTGTTTTCAACTATCAGTCTTAGGATCCTGCATATTTTTTTGTCTGTTAAATAGATCATTCTACCATAAATCCTCTCATCAAGTGAATGCTTTTCAACTGCAATCAGGACAGATCTTTGCCATCTCTTTGATATACTAAATAGATCGAACTACTTAAACTTCTCACCTTACAACTTCTGAAGTTTGAGTTATTCTTGTCAGTCTTCCTGAAACGTGTCAAGCTCTTCCCCTTTCCTTTCCTTCTTCACAGAAGTACTCCAGCAAAATGGTAAAACCACATCCCAGCTACTATTCAGTAGGTGATCTTTTCTGTTGGTTATTCAATTGCTGCTCCTTGAAGTAGCTGCTGCTATTGTCCCAAGTAGTCAGCAACTTAATTTGCATACTTTCTTAGTACTTGACGTTTGTTTTAATAATGTTTGAGTGAGGCTTAGTAAATGAGCAATCAGGATTACATTGTAAAAATGATCTTCCTTATTATTTCTTGGGTTTTTTGTGTGTCTGGGTCTTCAGTCAGGCTGAAAACTTTGGGAATGAGAGGATATTTTTTTGTTTGCAGTAAAAAATTAATTTCTTCTGGGACAGCTTGTCTCCCTATTGTTGGATTGGTATTGTGTCCTCCATAATTTGTCCTGAACTGCATTAGTGTTTGCAGTCAAGGCCAGGCAGATGCGTGTGTGTATGTGCACACACGTGTACATACATTCAGAGAAACATGAAAGTTGCCCTACCAGCTTTAAACTTATTTTTCCTCCAGCATGAAAGTCCTTGAAGTCTTTTCTTCACATTTTAAAATATTTTTCTGTATTCACCTTCAACTTCGAGGTTTATGGCTAGGATTTTCTAGCCTATTTGAGAACAATGCGTAGTTGAGGGTAATGCTGTTCTTGGCCAGAGGATTCAATCTTAATGACCTGCTGCTGAAGGAACAATGCTCCAAAGACTGAAGAGGCTGCAGAAGGCAGGACTTGTTCTTGTGACGTCCTAGGGATAGCATGTCCATCTTCAGTGTTCCCATGTGTCCTGAAGAAGCTTGAGGAGATGGTCCCAAGTGAACCAGGCTACAGCAGCAGACTTTTCATAGGGTTTAAGGCAATAGTTCTCCTGCATGACTCCAAATCCTGTGTTTAGTTCTTGAAATGGTAAAAGGAGAAAAACCAAATCTTTGCTTCTAAAGATGTTTTCAAATAAATAAATAAATGTCAGTCCTGGTCAGAGTTAAAATTACAGTCATTGATGCTAGAATTTCTAAAGGCAGGAATGTGGAGCTGTCAGGTAGCAGTGCAGAAAGTCCTATGGACGTCATCCATTCTGGAGCTCACTGCCTGCAAAATGCTGGCACCCTAACATATCCATTAGAATTGTATCTTCTTCCATTATCTGTTCTCCGGAAGTCCAGACACCCCCAGTACAAGTATCCTGGTCCAAGTTTAGCATAGTTCAAACTGCTGTCAAGAATTCTGCTCCTTGGTATGTGTAAGTGCCAAAGAATGTCTGACTATCCTAGTATTGGGTCAGGATGCGGGACAGTGTTTAGCTTCATCTGTGGCTGATCTTCATGAATTCAGAGAACTGTTCCAAGATGATGACCAGGTCCAAGGCTGCATAGTCATTTAACGTTGCATGGTGATGATTCTGCTTGTGCTACTCCATGGGATACCAATGTAGATTTAACGTTGCATGGTGATGATGGTGCTACTCCATGGGATACCAATGTAACTGCCCTTCCACAGTCCCTCCTGCTAGCTGTCCTCTTCACCATGACAGGTGCTGTTTGAGTACAGGTATAAGGTCCTAGGTATGAGGGATATGCTTCTGGATTCATACTTCACTCTGGATTCTTCTGGAATCCTCCCAATTTCTTCATGATTTATGGAAAAAAGAACACTGTTCGGTCAGCTTTACTCTGCCAGCTCCTCAGAGCTGTTGGTAGAAAGTGATTGGTCTGTTAACTTAATTTCTAAATAGCTGTTCTAACATTGTTCTTTAGAAGGGCTTAGAAGGCATTTTCCTCTTTGTGCTGCAGTAAGCCAGCTTCATTGTAAACCTGAAACAGTCTACTGGAACATCCCTGCACAACCTTCATTTTCTCAACTGGTTTGCATTGGGTTAAGTTGTTGCTAAAAGTTCTTTGTTTCTATTCCAGATGTGAATACTTTTTTGTCCCTTTCTTGATGTATTTTGCATAATTTGGAAGCTTAATTTCTACTTTTTTGCTTTTATGGCAATTATGCACAAGACAGAAAGGACTGGCTGTGGTTGTTAGATCCAAGAGTAAGTTTGTGTTCGTGGTGAAAGGCTTATGTTTTGATACTTTGCTGGAATCAGAGGAACTTCACCGAGGACTACTTCAGTCTTCCTCCCACCCGGAATACTTTAAGTATGGGCTCAGAAATGTAGGCAGTTAAATTTAGGTCTGGAGGGAGGGCCTTGTGTAAACTGTGAAGATTCAGGAAGGTACCTAATCTTTGCATTCCTTCCTGGTGATATACCCTTCTTTAGACGTGGTGTATTTTAAAGCAGAAGACTGAAAATGTGACTTACAACATGGCTTATATTTAACTTTTTTTAATAATCTTGCAGGGGGGAGCCTAAAACGTGGTATGGAGCCCCAGGTTATGCAGCTGAACAGCTGGAGGATGTAATGAAGAAGCTTGCTCCAGAGCTATTTGAATCTCAGCCAGATCTCTTGCACCAACTTGTCACCATAATGAACCCGAATACTTTGATGGCCCATGGAGTGCCTGTATGTTGTTGGACTCCTGTGCTACTCCCCCAAACCCAAACCTCTCTCATTTGCACCGAGTTCTACTTCAGAGATAATAATTGAAGTCACTTCTGTTCAGAGATGATGTGGTAGTTTCCATGTGGTGGTATCTTCCTTGTCTAGTGTAATGTGCCGGTATGAACAGATGGGCAATGGAATCATTGCTTTTGGAATTACTTGGCAAATTCTTCTCTGGAGATCCACCTTAGTAGCTTTCTATTTCTGTGTCTCAACTGAGAGGTTGAGTCTCAACCTTTGAAACAATGGCAGGAGCTCTTCATATGTCTGTCTAATCAGACTCAATTGTTTGGCATGGAGTTTCTGGCAGGGGGCTGAAACCCATTCTTTATTTGCCGTCCACATTCTTTTATTTATCCTGGATAATTTTTTATGTATTTAAAAACATTTTTCATCAGTTTCCATCAAACTCCATACTAGATTATTCATGGGAATTATGTCCCTTTACAAGTTAATTGGCTTTTGACTAGCTGACTTTGGGACTTAAAGGAAAATCTGAAAGAAGTAGCAAAATGTATCGTGCCTACTATGCTTTGAGAGACTGCAAAATTGAAAGCTGCAGGAAGACCTGCCTGTTTTCATGCTGATGGTATAGCACCAAAAGCATTAGATTTACAGCACTATGAACTTGTGTAGGTTCCAAGTTTCTCTCTGCCTTCAGCTGCACACTAAAGAGAGCTTTGCCTGTGTGTTAGCTGTGTAACTGTGCACAGTGCTAACAAAGTACAGAAGGCACAGGCAGCTGGCTTAAAAACTGTTTAGCGTGCAGGTATGGCTGAATGAAACCCCTTTGCTTTCTAAGGTTTTATATAACAAGTTACCAAATGCCAGCTGTAATTCTGGGCTTATGTTTTAAAACTCTCCAAAGTCATCACAGAAATTACTAGAATTGGAATTCTGTATCGTCTTCTCACAGCCTTTGGTTCTGTTTAGGTTTGACCTAATGCTTGTCTGTCTTTTCTCTTAGGTTTATCGAACCAATCAGTGTGCTGGGGAGTTTGTGATCACCTTTCCAAGAGCTTATCACAGTGGCTTCAATCAGGGTTTCAATTTTGCTGAAGCTGTGAACTTCTGCACAGTTGATTGGGTATGTTCCAAAACCAGTTCTTTATAAACTATGCAGTTCCAAAGTTGTTCATGGTTGATGTACAGCTCTTAGTTACTGCTGATGCACAAATCTAGTCCACAGATCTGAGGGAGCCAATAACTGGAAGCATCATGTTTTGCTGAAGGCATTTCTTTTATGTAGTGAACTGTGGGCATTCTCTGCTTCCTAAGGTTTGGTTTGAAATTACACAGTGGGGCTGGTGTGTGTCTCTTACAGCAGGACCTAGACATGGTCCTGTGCATGTGTAGAATATGAGAAGCACCAGTGTTGCTAGAATCTACTCCTTTTGTGTCCCCAAATTCCATTCAAATCATCAAGAACTGAAATGAAAGTTTTCTGTTTGTTGCACTTGGACTTCTAAGAGGTGCTTTCTAGAGCCGAAAAATGAAGCCAACTTGGACTTCTTTTCTACTTCTGTGATTAAAGTGGATTATACATGTAACACATTAAGAAAAGTTAGACCTTGATAGTCCTCTTGGAGGGGGGAAAAAAAAAAGGAATTGAGTCTGATGCAAGTACATCCTCTTGGATCATAGAGGTGCTGTAGGTTTTTATGGAAGAATACTTTAATGAGAAGGGAACAGAAAGTTTTGATGAGAAGGTTCACAGACCAGTACTTTATTCCCAGTAACCTTCACTCAGCTCATTGAAACAACAGAGATAGGTATGCATTACAAGTATTAGGTCATAATAAATTATTAAGTTTGAGGGTGTTTTTTTAATGGAAATAAATGGAGAATCCAAAGATATAAGAAATGGTTTCTCCTTCCCAGCAGATTTCTCGGACACGTGGTGGTGTCTGATCTCAGAAAGATCATTTGATGCTACTGATGCTTCAAATTATTCTTTTCTGATTTTTTTTTTTTCCCCTAAAGAGGTCTTAGCTGTTTGTAAATGTACTCTATCTAAAAATGTTGCTACATTTTAAAAAAAATCACTTAAAATTGGAAGAAAGCTTTCTGCATTGTGACTGTGTTCATATATCGATTGGTTTTGGTTTCCTCTTGTCCTTCCATGAGTTTCGTAGAAGACCCTAACCCTAATCTCACTGTAAACAGAGCATCCCTATCCGCCTGGCCAGTGCCAGCCTTAAAATAAAGCTAGGAATAACCTGCCCAGCTCATGCTGAATTGTTACTCTGCCTGGGGTTGGTTAGGGACTCGGTGGTTCGTGGCGTCAGCAGTTTGTCGTGCTGTGGCACAATTCGTGTCCTGCATAAACAAGCCACATCACGTGACTGGAAGGTGCTGTGTGCCCTGCAATCCGCCTGTGACGGGGCTGGCCTCGAGTGGTAAGAACAGGGCAAGTGTTTGTACCCTTCCCTTTGATGCTTCCCCAGCTTGGGTCTTCCTGAGCCTACTGTAGGTTAGTGATTTAGTCACCCCTGGTTATGGTCTCTTCTGGATAGTACGTTCCCCCGGTGAGCCTGGCTACACAACTTGCATCCACAGCATCCACTGTGAAGGAGTTGGAAGTGATCCTAGTTTACAAGAACTCAGCGTCTTGATTTCTCTAATTTTTTGTTCTGAATTATGAATATTGTTGTGGAAGGATTTGTCTTGGCCTTTCATTTGGGTAGTTTTTGGTTAGTAGCCTAATGTTAGTATCTTAATGTCATTTTCAAAATTAACTCTTGATTTAATGTTTTTCAATGCAGCTGCCGTTGGGTCGCCAGTGTGTGGAACATTACCGTCTGCTAAATCGTTACTGTGTGTTTTCCCATGATGAGATGATCTGTAAAATGGCTTCCAAAGCAGATGTTCTTGATGTTGTGGTAGCATCTACAGTTCAGAAGGACATGGCTGTTATGATTGAAGAGGAGAAGAGGTTGCGTGAGAAGGTTGATAAACTGGTGAGTTGTAGGAGCTAATATTACAATAAAGGAAGGAACAGCTGAAACAGTGGTGTGAAAGGCATGCTGGGGTTTGTACTGTTGTCAGCAGCTTAGAGCTACGGAGTGCCTTCCTGGGTAGCACTGTTGATTTCAGAGCACTTCCTGAGTAAAGTCATGAATCTTGTTTTAGCATCTGCCCATTAATTTTGTTTAGAATTTCCCTTTTAAAATAATATTTGTTCTTTCAGTAATTTAATCAAAATAACTTTTTTCATTAACCAAAATTTCTGTCTGCCTGGTTAATCATAGAATCATAGAATGGTTTGTGTTGGAAGGGACCTTAAAGATCATCTCGTTCCAACACCCCTGCCATGGGCAGGTTTTAATATCTTATGTCTAAACTTCATTATTCCTGTCATAAATTTTAGCTTCGGATGCTTTAGTGTGGCATAGTTGCCTCTTCATTAGGCTCTGAAGTGATGTAACATCCTCTCTTGCAGGGGGTTACTGACTCGGAGAGAGTGGCTTTTGAGCTGTTTCCTGATGATGAGCGACAGTGCTTAAAGTGTAAAACCACCTGTTTCATGTCTGCTGTTTACTGTCCATGTAAACCTGGATTATTGGTGTGCTTGTACCACGTCGAGGATCTCTGCTCCTGTCCCACCTACAAATACAAGTTGGGGTAAGCTTTAGATAGCAAATAACACTCTGTTCTGGAGATTTTTGTTATTATATATGTAGATACTGTGGTGGTGCCTACTCTGTTTTGTCAGTGGTGTGAGTCTCGGTGTCCTGTTTCTCTCTGTCCTTTGCAAATACAGTGCCTCCAAAACAAAGTGCTTTTTTGTGCTCGTATACAAAGACTCTTTTCAGCATTTTAGCTATTCTTGCTCCATAATGGCAAAAATTGCTGGATAAGTTAGTTTGCTTTTTTGTGTCTAGTGACACAGTCATCATCCCCCACATCCAGTCCTTGCTGAGTAATAATTTATTTGCTTTTGTTAGCTTTCTTTCCTGTTCTCCTCTTTCCTTTCCTGATTTGTTACATGTCCTACATGAATGTAGCTTGTCTTAAGACAATTTCACAGTTGCTTCAGTTGTAATGTGGAAATTGCTTTGTGAAGCAATTGCGACATTGAAATTGTCTCGGGGGGGAGCCTGGTGCTGTTATATATCTTAATTTTATAGTCCTGGGTGCATAGTAGATAATTTCTGTGCTGTATGGACCAATACATCTTAGAGCCCCTTCCTTCTACCCTTCTGCTCCCCACCAGTTTTTGCTGAGGAGTTTGAATTCTGTGCTAACTGTAGGTACCGCTATACCCTGGAGGAGCTCTACCCCATGATGATGGCGCTGAAGATGCGAGCGGAATCGTACAACGAATGGGCTTCCAACGTTAACGAAGCTCTGGAGGCAAAAATTAACAACAAAAGAAGTAAGTATCCTACCTTTTATCTACAACACAAATTTTAAATGGTTAATTTTTCAGTTTTTAGTTTCTGAAACTTGGTAAATTTTGTCTGATGTGACAAAGTAAATCATATAGAGTTTGATGTTTTAAAGTAAATACTTTAGCCTTCATAGTCCCAGAAATTATGCTGAGCTGTCTCTGTGTGAGAAGATTGTAAATCACTTTGATATAAAATATATCTGTAGTTGAAACAGAAATACATTTCATGTCTTGTGTTACTCTGCCTTACCATTTAAAATCCATCACAGAGGGGGACTTCTGTTAACTTAGTATCTTTCCCCAAAGGTCTCATCAGTTTTAAGGCTTTGATAGAAGAATCAGAAATGAGAAAGTTTCCGGACAATGACCTACTGCGACACCTCAGACTAGTTACACAGGATGCCGACAAATGTGCCACAGTTGCACAGCAGCTTCTTAATGGCAAGAGACAAACCAGGTAAATGTTACTGTAAGTGTTGGCAACAAAATTGAGTCAGTGAAGATAAATGCCTGTGGCCAGGGAGAGATGCAAGACTTAAAAATGGCAGCAATCTTTTTGTCTTCTCAAGAGAGCCATCTCTTACGGGGAGATTCACCCTTCCTGCATGTAGTAAGTTAAACATCCTAAGCTTTCAATCTCTTCTTCCTCTGTGTTTGACAGTTGAGCAGTAAATTCATTCCAGCATTCCCTGAAAGGAAAAATTGGTGTGGTATTTCCAGACAAAGCAACACCCAACAAAATACAGTCCACTTGTCTTTGTGCCATGAGGACTGAAAATCTGTCAGCGGTGCATCTGTCATTATACTCCTTACACTTTATGCCTTGTGCAAAAATAAAGTGTCTGAACTTCCTGAGCTGATGCTGATGGGAATATGGTATAAGATTTCTGAAAAATACTTGCTTGCTCTTTGGCAGCACTTAGGTTAAATCTTTTAGACGGGTTGTTTGCTCAAGGAATTTGAAGATAGGGCAGTGTTTGGGTAATACACTCTTTGTGAACTGGATGTCTGACTTTCTGGTCGTGCTAACATTTTCCATGTCTGAAATGACTTTGGAAGGAGTCAGGAGATCCAGAAGGTCAAGGACAGGTCTCCTCATTGCATCAGTTTGTGACTTTATTGATGTACTAGCCTTTCTCTTGGGGATCACAAATTACCATCTTCTGTTGCAGCTCCTCCACCCAGGCTTAAAATGGCTGTATTTAGTCTCATGGGATGATAGGTTTCTAAGAAAATCTTGGTTTCATATATGTGGAGGACAATATTGCTCAAGTCCAACCATCTTAATAGCGTGAAATACTTCAGGAAAAAGCTGACTGTCTTTTCCCATCTGCACAAATTTCCCTGTCTCTGCTGCTTTGAGCGATGTGGTGTTTGTCAGAGCAGTTGCTCTTTGTGCTAGTATAACTGCATGTGTGTGCCTTCTGCATGTTGCCTGCCGCAGCAGGTATCCTGCAGCTTGTCACTCCCTGTGTTCTTGCAGTACTTTAAAGCCTGACTTTGAAGGACTGTGGCAGAAAAATACTCAACTCCTACTTAAATGTTACTTTTGCACCTGCAATTTCCCTTCCTCATCATTCTTGTGTAAGTCTTTGTAGCAAGGACTTGATAAAAATTCAACTTCTGTCTTGCAAACACAAGAGGACAAAGTCTCTGTCACAGCAACATAAAAATACTACAACAGGAAACGAAAAATTCAACACTCCAACAGGCACAATTTTGACAGATAGGTGATTTCCAACCCAGAGGCTCATGGCATTGTTGTCAAAGGATTTATCCACTCCTAACCTCTTCCTTCATTTAGTGTTGAGCCACCTCTTTGAGTTCCGGCATTCCCAGTCCATGTGTTCTCCCATCCTTGGTATTTGCTCAGTCCTCCTGATGAACTCCTGTTGCAGCAGCCGGGCCCTTTCCAGCTGTTCTGTGCCAGAATGAGCTCTTCCAAGAGTCTCCTGTTCAGAACACGTACCTGACTTTGCTAGGCCTGGAAAAGGGCGGGGAGCAATTTTTTGCTTCATCGTTGACGGTGACAAAAGAACAGACCTAGTCATAGTGTATCAGCCTTTCTGACAGCTGTACTTCCGGCTCCTTCAGCGTGACAGACTGATGAATAATCCTCCCAGTGTTGCACCGCACAGGATCGAGGCAGTGCTTGGATTGCATCTGTCATTTGCTCCAGCATGTTCTTAGCCCTTCCCTCACTCCTCCTTTGAGCTTTCTATCATGTTTCTGGGAAAAGTTCGGTTGAATGTCTTTATAATTAGTGTTTTAAAAATACGTGTTATTTGATGGATTTCTTTTTTTCTTAAGAGATCAAAGGGCAAGTGCTGGTAACCTATGTAGGAAGGTGAAGGGATAATCCTAATACACGTGTTAGCAAATACGGTTTCATCTACGTGAAGTTCACATACCTGCAGGGTGTTGGGCAGCCTTCATCCCACTGACAGCCGTGTATTGGGTACGAAGGATTCTGCTTAATGTTCGTTTCGTGCTTTTGACAAACTTTCCTTTATGAACTGAGCATTTCTTCCAGTCCTCAGTTTGGATGAGTTATGCTGTAAACATGACTTGACTAGAAAGGTTATCCCTGTTAATCGTGGTAGTCAGTGATGCTCAAGGATATCTTCCTGTATAGTATACACAACAATTCCTGGAGAGAGAAGTCCGAAGTAGATGATAAATATTCTCTGAGAGTAAATCCGGTGACTCTCGCTCACCATTCTCTGTAGTACCTGAAGAAATACAGGCAGGCTGTACTTCCCGGTTTCCTTGGGTTCTTATGGTGCTGGGTGATGGAGCAGTGCTAACAGATGCTGTGTGGAAGATTTGTCCTGAGAACACACTCTGGCACTAGCAGGTAGATGGTACTGGAAGGGAACAGTGTGACATCAGGGTAAGCCCAAAAGTATGTTCTCACTCCATCACCTTCCTTCTCCAGGCCTCATGACACCTGTTCTGCTTCTTGGAGTCTCCAAGAGTTTATAGACACCTTGCGCATTTTTGTGCTTAATAACTTTGGGTGGGTGTGGGCTTTTCTTCTGTGAATGCTTTTTATTTTTGTTAGGCTCCTGTAACTTCTGGTTATCAAAACCATCTTGTGACAGTCAGTTTTGTGGTTCAGATATGTGTGTGTATGTATATATATTTATTTTTAAAACTTGTGCCTTTTCCTGGAAGATACTGCAGAACTTCCACAGAAAATAGTAAAACATTTTAGTAAATAGTAAAACCGCATGTGTTGTACCTGACACTTCGAATTCATTTTGTTGTTCAGCTTACTAGGGATTCTGTAACTCCCAGTGTGATGTTGCATATCCTTTAAAAATACCTATTTTTAACATAGAATAGTGAATTAAAATTTATTTTACAGTGTTCATATCCTAGTCATGCTGGCATATCCTGCTGGGATATTATTTTCCTCTGTTGTTTAAATGACATATTGTGGATTAAATTGGAGCCAGCAATATAAGAGATTTCTTTCCCTTACTGTTCAGGGTTCTCAGACCTAGTTAATATTGGCTTGAGTTTACAGAGGTTTTTAATATTAGCCAATTTGTTAACACTTAAGCCACTCATTTCATATGAAGCTTTTAGATAAAAATGAAAATGATGATTTCAGCGTAAAGAGGATTTTTCAGAAGTGCCTACACGTCCTGTGAATATAAACCCCATTCAAAATTGGGATTTGTTCTCTTTTGGTATGGGCATGGGAAGAGCTTACTACAATAGCTGTTGCAACATAACTGAATAGTTTATCCACAATTGCTTTGTGTTCTGGAAAAAAGCCTAATTTTATTCCATAATAACCAGAGCTCTTCCAAGGCAGCGTAGTTGTTCCAGAATACTGTTTAATATGAAAG